CAAAAGGTGTATAAAATAATTTTATTAATTAGTTCATGATAAATGAGATGCAAAAAAAAATATATGATATATTTTACTATAAATAAGTGTGAGCAAATGTCTATTTTCACTTAATTTAATGCCAAATTTTGTTTTATTATGCTTAAAATTGAAATTTTTTATGTAGATGTAATATGCATAAATAAATAGATTTTTCAATTTATAGTTGTCAAAATCAAATTGATAAATAAAAAATTATTAAAATAAAAATAGACAGTAATAAAAAAAATTGTTTAGATTGGGTTTTTTTTTTCGTATTATTTAATAAAGTTTGTAAGGATATATATAAATTATCACATTATACTAATATTTAAAAGTGTAGACGGATTAGTATTATTGTAAGCATATTCACATTTTTTCTTATTTTGATAAATTGGATTATGTCTTTTGGTTTGCTTTATTTAATTAAAATAATATTATTTCTAAAAATTCTTTAATTTAAATAATATTCAAATAATTACTAATATTTTTTAAGTAATGATGGTAAAAATATTAGAAATAAAATAAATACCACACAATTAGCAATTATATCGTTTACTTTTCTACCTAAAATTAAAATTTATCAACACTTCTACTTTTCCACCCGATACTTATTTTTATAAAATTATTTTTAATATTTATTTCTCGCATAATATTCATAGTAAATTAATTTTATTATGTCATTTGCTTTGAGTGAATGAGAGAGACTTGAAGAACTTGAAAAACTCATTTTTTTTGAAAAAGTTTTTTGCAAAATTGGTCCAATCTAACGTCCTCATACGAGTCCCGTTAATATTGACGGACGTGGGACCATTTTGACAACGAAAATTCAAAAAAAAACCATAATTGACGTGCCTGGAATTAAATGTGGGAAACAACAAAAATTTTGGGACAAAATTTGTAATTTTCTCCTTCAAATTAACATGTGTTGATAAGGTTGAGTTGTTGCTGTTAATTTTAAGACCCATATCGATAATTTTATAATATTTAGGTCCCGAATTGATAATTAACCTATCTTTCGGGTCTTGGATTGAAAAAACTCTTATTATCAAATAAATTAAAAAATAAGCATATTAATTAATAATTAAAATAATATGAATGATAACTATAAAATTTTGTAAACTTTGAAATAAAATTATATATACATTAATCAAATATAATATTATCATGTATCATACAACACTGATTAACACTACATTATTACGACTAAGCTTAGACCTATGAGTCATATTTTAAAGTCATACTTGTTGGTAGTCAAGCCGAGTACGGACTCCTAGAAGAAATATCCAAACCGAACACAGTAGTACTACCGTGTGTCCTGGTACACCTAGTTAGGTGTGCTAAGGCAAATTTGCACGCGCCCCTCACCCTAAAAAACTAGAAAATTTAGAGAGTTGTAGTGCACATTCCCATTTTTCTTTTTTTAATTGAAAAATGAGACATATTACATAAATTAAAATATCATTAATTATTTATATTAAAAAAATAAAATAAAAATACCAAAATTCATAATTTTTCAATATTTATAAATAGATACTACATTTAATAGGTTTTTGAGCACAACTAATTTTTCTTTTTTTCGTAATTATTTTATTATACTGACATATAATGAACATGTTACATAACAAGATGAATATATTTTCAAATAAGATGAACATGTTACAGATTGCAGATTGAAATAATACATATTCATCTTATTTTATAACATGTTCATTTTATTTTATAACATGTTCACCTTATTGTGTATGTAACATGTTCATCTTATTCTATAACATGTTCATTTTATTATGTAACATGTTCATCTTATTCTATAACATGTTCATTTTATTATGTAACATGTTCACCTTATTGTGTATGTAACATGTTCATCTTATTCTATAACATGTTCATTTTATTATGTAACATGTTCATCTTATTGTGTATGTAACATGTTCATCTTATTCTATAACATGTTCATTTTGTTATGTAACATGTTCATCTTATTTTATAACATGTTCATTTTATTATGTAACATGTTCATCTTATTTTAGAACATGTTCATCTAAATTTCATTTGTGAAAATGTAATATTTTCATCTTATTCTATGACATGTTCATCTTACTCTATAACATGTTCATCTTAATATGTAACATATTCATCTAATTATAGATTTGCGTCATAATCTTCCAATAAGATAAATTAATTGTAAAAAATGATAAATTAATTGTGTTCCAAAAAATATCAAATGTGATCTCTATTTGTAGAGAATGAAAAATTATGAATTTTGGTATTTTTATTTTTATTTTTTGATACTAAATATGAATGATAGTTTTAATTTATATAATATGATATATGAAATTCATTACCCAATAGAAATGGGACACATGTCCCATTTAAAAAAAAATACTCTACCTCCTTACGCGCTTTTGAAGGAGCTGTATTTCACAAAAGGCCCTGCCGCAGTACCACTACCGTGTGCCTTGGCACACCTTGCTAGGTGTGCCAGGGCAATTATGCACGCGCCTAATCACTCTCAAAAACCAAAAAAAATGAGAGAGTGTATTACACGTGCCACTTTCTTTTTTTTTTTTTAATTGAAAATGAGACATATTAGATATATTAAAATATCATTAATGATTAATATTACAATAAAAATATAAATATACTAAAATTCATAAATTTTTATTATCTATAAATAGAGACCACATTTGATAGATTTTTTTTAACATAATTAATTTTTTTTTTCGTAATCAATCTATTATACTGACATAGGATGAACATGTTACATAATAAAATAAATATGTTATCAAATAAGATGAACATGTTACGAACATGTTCATCTTATGTTATAACATGTTCATCTCATTTTGTAACATATTCATCTTATTTTATAATATGTTCATCTTATTGTGTAAATATGTAACATGTTCATCTTATTCTATAACATGTTCATCTTACTAAGTAACGTGTTCATCTCATTTTGTAACATATTCATCTTATTGTGTAAATATGTAACATGTTCATCTTATTCTATAACATGTTCATCTTACTATGTAGCATGTTCATCTTACTATGTAACATGTTCATCTTAATCTATTACATCTTACTATGTAACATGATCATCTTATTCTATAACATATTCATCTTACTAAGTAACATGTTCATCTTATTATGGATGTGCGTCTTCATCTTTCAACAAAATAAATTAATTGTGAAAAGTGATAAATTAATTGTATTCTATAACTTATCAAATGTGATCTCTATTTGTAGAGAATGAAAAATTATGAATTTTGATATTTTTATTTTTATTTTTTAATATAAAATATGAATGATAATTTAATTTATATAATATGATATATAAAATTCATTATCCAATAGAAATGGGACACATGTCCCATTTAAAAGAAAAAAACTTCCCTCACAGGCTTTTTTGAGGGAGTGTATTTTACAAAAGGCTTGGCACACCTAATTATTTGCGCTTATATGTTGGTACACGCGTCATCTGCCCAACTCATCGAATGCTCAGTGATTATCGCCGCATTAACTCCATCATAAACTGTATACTTCTAAATATAATTAGGAGAGTTTTACTACATTATGAACAGTATTTCGTTGTATTACACTACAAATAAATAGTTGTAGGGTCTTTATTCATTTACTATTTACCGCCTCCTATTACTACTTATCGTCCCTCTTGGACAATTTGCCCT